TCCAAGGAGTTAGTCAAATTTTGGCTTCAAAGTTCAACCTGTTTAAAGTTCATACTTAGCTTGGTAAAAATCTGGAAGGTCTTCTTTTCTAAAGGGAGTGCTGCCCAAATTTTTGCTAATTCAGGGAGTTAGACAAAATTGGACTTTGGAAACTCAAAGGCTATTTCTGTTTTCATATTCGGGCTGATATAAATTCTGGAAAGCCACTTTTCCTACGGGAAGCGCTGCCGGAATTTTCTTGATTTAGAGGAGTTAGATTATATTTTGACAGGTGGCGATTCAGGGAATCCACCCTGAATAGGGGAGATTCTGCCATTAGTCTACCTTTACTTTGGGCACTGGCGTAGAGGTAGGCTTAGACTTAGTTGGCGCATAGCTATGAGTGAGGATGTACTATGGAGATTCATCCCCAAAGGCTGATGTTTTAGTTTGGGCCTTGACCTGTCTCATGGTACAGGCTTTTCTTGGACATTCGATTCAGGACTTGGGCTAGTGTCAGCTTGATCCTACAAGGATCACCTTCTGTTATYATTGATAACAKGTCGKTTGCCGATTCGTCGGTYTACGACTCAATTCCAACTCAYTCTTCAYACCCAACCTAAAAGGCTTTAGCCCTGGTGACTTKATTGTTTGTTGAGSGTTTCACCCGGACTTTTATTGAATGGCCATTTAACAAAGGTACTGAGTATTTTATTATGGTTGATTGAGCGGGTGATTGGGGCTTGCATGGTTAAAGCAAGGGGTATGAGTGTGGAGATTGGTTGGGGTTGACTCCGTGTAGCGYGTGGTTGYTGCTCGATTCTTTGATGTGATTGCAGGTAGACCTTGTGGCTCGGATTTGGATTTGGGGTTGCCTGCGATCTCATAAATGTACTTATGGCTGTAAGAAGTCCCACAGTGCCTATGAGCAGTGATCGTCGCAACTTTATCTCCCCTATGTGTGTATGCTTGGGTGTATTTACTGTGGGGGTTCGCGAGGCCTGGGCCGCGATTACCATATACGACTGGCATCGTTGGTCGGCATGGGACTGGCTAGCAGCCGCGCAACCTATGTAAAAATTCTGTGTGCGAAGCCTCGCCGCCCCAACGCCCAGAGGTTATGGGATCGGGAGGCTCGCACGTAGACGCAAACGCTGAGGTCACTGTAGGCTGTGGGCATCACCCAAAGAGAGGAAGGGTACCCCCAAAGGATCATGACCCTGGCTGGAATAAGAGGGGGGCTCTCGGCCCATTCGTCTGCTTTTTAGAGTTTTTATGGTTGGACGTTGTGGTCCGTGGCAGCCGTTAAAGTCAATCCCCTTGATGTTTGACCGCCACAATAGCTTAAAGCTGTCTACTGAACCCCTCTACACAGGGTGCAGAAGAGGGTGTGGTGTTCAACCGCGCATGGCGGTTGTCCAGCGTCGAGAGATTAACCCTCAAGACGCGTGTCAGCCGACACTTGAGTGTCGAATGCGACCCTCGAGATTAACGAGGACCGCACGATTATGGGCACTACATAGTACGCCATCATTGCGACTGCTTGCGTACATTTGCATTTTGAGTCGATATGAGTTAGCCCTGCATCCGCGCAGTTTTATATTAAGTCTCGTGCGCGACGCCTATTTGATTTCCGCATCGGAAGGTTATGGGTTGGCTACCGAGGGGCTAGGAGCATTGTCGCGTTGTGTGTTCTGTCATGTTGTGTGTGCGTGTGTGTGTGCTTTATTTTTGTGTTCGTAAAGTGGTGTGCGCGTGGTGTGTGGGATGCGTCCTAGTCGACCGACGACGAGCCGCGCTTGGGACTTCAGCCCCCCAAGATGTCGGTTCGCGTCCGGGCCTGGCAGGGGTATTACCACGTGTACCCCCTATGCTACAGCGAACGAGAAACGCCCTCAGCTGGTCCACCTCTGCAATTGCAACTGAGTAGCTTTCGTACTGTGGACTGGTAGCTCGGCGGGGATATGCCCACCGAAGGGAGGTGACAGCTCCCGTAAGGTGGAGGTAAGATGTGCCTCGCGTAGGCCCTATCCTGTCGTAGGGGCTCGCGAGAGGTATGGCTGGCGCACTCGGCCGGAGCGGCCTAAGGAAGCTCCATTTGTTTGTTCGCGGCAAGGTTGGTCCAACTTCTGCGTGACGCGGCCGAAAGGGTCCGACGCTACCACGTGCGGTGCCGGACCGATACGTCCGACAACGGGGTAACATATACATAACAAAATGAGATACCAGGGTGATTGTGATGAACTATGTTCTGTAATCGCGCGACTTTCTGCACAAAGATGCTTGGGGAAAATACGACGGGTCGAATGGGTGAACTGTGGGTAGATGGGTTGGACGGGCTAGTTTCATGAATGCCCTCGTTTCTTTTTGTTTTTGCTGGAAGTTGCCGGATTGGTGTCGGGAAAATCCCGTACCAACGGTTGGGTAACTGCGCCTTGGAGAGCGCGAGAAATAACTGTACCATAGCTTCTTTCTTGTTCTGTTGTGAGCATGGAACTTTGGCGCGATCATTGCGCGGTGCCGGGGATTTTAAACGTCGGACGCTGTCCGACTTTTTTGTTAAATTAAGGAACTTGATGAGACTGACGTCTGCCAAAAATTTATTCAGAACAAACCTACGAGTGAGAGACTAAATTTTTGTTTAAGTCCAAACGCCTGCGGCATGCTATAGCGGCGGTGCGGTCGGTCACCAACCGTGTTTGGCGAGTACGGAGGGGCGTACGGACGCTGGAATACTAAGTCTAACTCATATCCTACTTAAAATGATGACAGCCGTGCGATTCAAAGCCTCAATAGGCCAAAGGGGTGACTTATCAGGCTTACCGGGCTAAGCCTAAGCCGGTTAGATGGTGGGGCGGCGACCATTTGCCGAGGTGAGGCAGTTCGGGCCTGCCTAGTCCCGAGGCTGGGTGACCTACTAGGCAGCAACTCTTCAAATAGAAGAGTTGGGGGTATAGCTTCCGTGAATAGGAGCTAGCCCAGTAGGTTATAGCATCAAGCTATCACCCAACAGACACAGGGATCGAATCTGAAGGCATCGTACTTAGCTGGCTCCTTTTGGAACAGCCCACCGGAAAGGAACGTGAGGCGCGGTCGATTTCGACTGCGAGATCATCAGATCTCATGGCCGAACACGGCCGCGCGAATAACAGCATGACCCTGCGCAAGGATGACATGCATAAATCGAGAAAATAACAATATATATATATATATATATATATATATATATATATATATATATGACGCCACATGGCGCCTGTAGATGAGGTTGGGGG